GAACTCTGATGGGAAACATTGCTGGGCATCGTCATAGCAACAGTGGCTCAGCAGTTTTTAATTTTTATTGTTTAACTTCCTCTCAGGCCTGAACCTTCAGGTTTACTTGACTTGTTTTCATAAAATCTCATTTATTTTGAACTTCAAATATTTCCTCTTTAATATAAATATTTGACAGGAGAGATTATTCTCTTTACTTTATATCTATGCTCCCAATCGGTAGAATTATTAGACAGCATGGGATTAGTTTCCACTGTTATGCTGATGATACCCAGCTATATCTGTCTATAATCCAGATGAAGCTAACCCATTACATAGATTACAGGCATGTCTGAAGACAGAAAAACCTGGATGACTCTTAACTTTCTGCTCCTGAATGCAGACAAGATATCATTGGCTTCCTGTTTAAAGAGAGTTTTCCTTTTCACTGTCGCTACAAGCATGCTTGGTCAGTGATGGGAGTAACGTCGTTGAAAGTAACGGTGTTACTAACGCCGTTACCTTTTTTTACTAACAAGCAATCAAAATTATTACTTTGACTGTAACTATAACGCAGTTACCATTGCAGACAACCCGTTACTGCGCGTTACTCAGGTCACACAATTAACCTTTTTTTCATGATAGGACTTGTGCGTGCCTTGTCATGAGAGAGGGGAGGATGAGAATGGCTGATGTATAGTGAGATTCTGTCTGTCAGTTGGGTTGGTGGGTGTTTCCTCTGGCGGGTGTTAATGTACAGCACATACAGAGAGATGGAATCTGACTGGATGATCTGGTGAACTGTGAAGTGCCTTGAGATGACATGATGTGAATTGGAGCTATATAAATAAACTGAATTGAATTGAATAGATGAAGATCTCACCTCTGAGCATCATCTTCCTCACTCTGAGTGGTTTTAGAGGGAGGGGATCCCTCCTCTCTGTCCTCACACTGATCCATGCTGCTGAATTCACAACTTCTACCTGCAGAGGAAACACAGATCATTGATCTGAACATGAGCTCTGATAAATCATTAGTTCTGGAAAGAGATCAGCTGATTATCTTCTTGTCTGCTTCTTATCAGAATCAACTGAATGCAGAAATTTCAAAAGTACTCACATTTATTTAACTGTGTTGTACTTGTAGTTTTACTACAAGTAACTATATTTAGAGCTCATCAAAATAAAATAGTAAAGGGTCTACATTACACAAAAGTAGGAATAGGAAGTGCAGCTATTTGTGTTCAAATTTAGGGACTAAAAGTTTAAAGTACCTAAAAATAAATACTTAAGTAAAATACTGAGAAAGGCTCATGTGGGTTGAAAGCAGTCAGATTTCAGCTGCTGTTCTACTTTCAATCCTCTAGATGGAGCCATGGAGCAACATTTCCATCCGCTAACATTGATTCGCTGATTAGAAGCTTCAGTCCATCACATTGACTCAGGTCAACATCTTAAACCATTTTAATTGATAGATCATCCATCTGAGGCTCATCAGTGATTAATTAGTCACCTAATTTTTACTGTTTCGTTTTTAGAGGATTTAAGAAAAAGAAATATAAACAGACGCTGTTAGATCTAAGCAGCTTGAAGGAATCTAATAAATATATTAGAAATGTTGTTCTCCTTTCATTATAATGAAAAACCAATAGAAACAAAGTCCTGTTAAAACTCTGGAGCAGAGAAAATATCTGTTAGCAAATTGAAAGTCAAGGATAATGCTAGAGGAATGAAGTCCTTCCAGTTTGACTGCAAAGATTTAAACAAACAGAACCACAGAAAGTTTAGTCCCAGGAAATAAACATGTTTGAGACATTTCAGTCTTATTTATAACCTGTTCTTGTTTTTAATAAATATTGTTTTAACTCATTTATTAACCTTTTTTTAATTACTTGCATTACTTGCTTCTGTGTTTGTAAAATTCTAATGTTTTTGTTTTATCAAAGTTAATCTTAAATGCAAGATCATCTCAAACAAACAGAAAATAAGCAAATAATAACATGAAATACATAAAAAAAAATCATAATTAGATATTAATAATGGTTCTTCTAGGTAAGTCTTTAATCAGAGGAGAGATCAACATTGGAGCCAAAATAAGAACAGAACAAGTTTTTAAATCAAAGAACCAAATAAATCTGAAAATTGTTCCTCAAAACAAAGTTCTGGTAAAAACAAAGAAAACTTACAGTTTCTTGAAACTATCCAAAATACTGAACATCAATGACTGAGCGACAAACAGGTGAGCTGCTGAGAGGAAAGAGGCGGGGCCTATCCACGGTGTCAAGGTAGGAGAGGAATTCAGACCTCATGTATTTCAGCTGATTTTATCTGCCTGTTCTCTGCTGTTGAGCCTGGAGCATTCCAGAAGATGAAACTCAGGAACTCTAAGTAAAGCCTGAATCCAGAGAAACTGGTTCTAATCCAGATATAGATGTTAGTCTAACTGTAGGTTCACCATCATGGCAGCAGACTGTAAAGACAACAGGCTTCCTAACCCAAACCACCATTTTATGAGTTAAACAGGATGAGATAATTCAATTCAATTCAGTTTATTTATATAGCGCCAAATTCACAACACATGTCATCTCAAGGCACTTTCCAGTTCACCAGATCATCCAGTCAGATAGATTCAAAGCTTTCTATCTAAGGAAAACCAGCTGTTTGCATCGATTCATTGACTCAAATACAATCCCTAATTACATATATTTGATATATTATATGTTTCTGAGCCTTAATTGTTGTATTTATTTAGTTCAACAAGTTTAATTTTTTGTCTTAGACAGAGATACCTTCAAACCTAAATGTCCAAACTTGCTTTTTCAACTGTTAACCATCAGATGTTTGGAATATTTTATTACATCTTATTTATTTCCTTTCAGCTGCGTTTTATTCCACAGGTTCTGAAACTTGCGGAGATCAAAGAAACCAAACCCAGATGAGTGATTAATAAATCAACCAACATTTGATGAACAATTATTTCTCCTAACGATCAGCCTGTAAAACCACAGCACTGATGAAAGCCTGAATGATATATGTCCTGATATGCTGTGTTTTACCCTGCTGATGACATCACACTCATGGTCAGGATTGCCAGCATCTCTGCCAACCTGCTTCATGTCTTATTTGAAAAGCGAGGATCACTTTAAATAATTTAATAATCATAAATCTCTGAGAATCAAAACATGGATGAGGGTCCCCATTGTTAGCCAGCTGTCATTTATCATCACATGATCTCACTGTAACAGCTACATCTCCATTTAGATGAGCACTGACTAAACGTCTCCATGTTACTGCATGAGCCTAGTCCACTACAGTCACTGAAGCTCTTGTCTCACCTTGCTGGTTCATCCAGCGTCTGCCTCACATCCCAGAATCTCCTAAAAACTGTCATACGCTGAACTTTCTATGCTCATCTAAAGCTGCTCATCTCAGGCACATCACTGCTCAAGATGCAGGAGCGCTTCGAGTTACTCACCTTTTGAGTAACTTACACTTAACCTATGTCAACCATCAGATAACTTACCTGTAACTTGTGGCCCACATATGGCATACGCCGGCATACGTAGACGTGTGCCAGCGTACTTCATCGTAATTATTACTTATCCAACCCATTCCAGCATTTTTGCCAGATTTTCCATACATCAGGCATAAGCTAGACTAAATCGTCGAGGTGTGACAGCAGCTTTAGTTAGTGTGTCCTTTAGCTGTTAAGTATGGGAGGATGGAGATGGCGGCTGTTAGTGGAGGTTTTAGAGGACCCGAATGCAGAGATAAGTTTAGCAGATTTAATCGAGGTTCTAGGGGCAAAACTCAAAGAAAGAAAAGAAACCAAAAAACCAGGAGATGCCAGGGAGAAAGAATACACAGAGAGCAATTAATGAGGCAACAAGAAACCCGCAATGATGAGCTGCAGAGGTGGTGTATATATGGGGAACAGAACAAAGAATGGGCCAATGATGTAATGATCTTGGCACTGATTCCTGGCTGATCACTCATTTCATACACCTGCTCAGCTCCACCCGTTCCACAATCAGCTCTCACTGGCTTCACCTGTTTCCTTCACTATATAATCACCATCAGACCAGTCATCAGGGCCAGATTATCTGGTGCCAACCCAGTAAGAATAATCCAGCATCTCCTGTGAATAATCTTTTGCCCGTCTGTTTACTGACCCGTTCTGTCTCTGTTTGCCTGGATATCCGTTCTGTTCTTCCCTCAGCAACAGATGGTGAGAATAGAGAAACTCACTGATCCTCCATCCTGGCGTCCTACAGGGTTGTGTTCTCAGCTCTGCCCTCTGCTGGGGTCTTTAGGACAGCAGGGGGCGCTCCTCAACACCTTTGAGGAGCACCTTCTTTTTATATTATATTTTATAGAGTTCTTTTGTTATTGTGGGGGGAAAAAATCCATGCACTGCAAAAAAATTTAAATATAACTGAGTTCATTTTTCTTGGATTGAGTAGATAATTGAGACACTTTGCCAATGGAACAAGATAATTTACATTTAGAATTAAAAAAACTATGTAGTCTCTTATTTCAAGTGCATATCTAATTATCTTATTTCAATGGTAAATATACCCATTCCATTGGCAAACAATCTTATTTACCTGCTCAAATTAAATTTAAAAACACTTATTTTAAGACATATTCACTCATTTTCAGGACATTATTAAGGTCATTTTTTCCACAGTGAAGCTTCAGGCTCAGCAAGATGGAAGGAAATGATTTTCCATCTGATTGTTCCCAGTTTGAACACAAACACCCTGCAGCTGTTTGAATGCAATGCAATAAACTTTAAATCCAAGTCAGTCAATTTCTCTTAAATTAAATGCATTTTGTCTATAATTAAGCAGATCAGTGAGACACTCTGCCTATAGAACAAGACAATTTACATTTGGAATAAGAAAAAACTACTGTAGTCATTTATTTAATGTGCATAATATCTATTTATCTTATTTTAAGGGTAAAATTAATAATTCAATTGGCAAAATAAACTACCTGTTCAAATTAAGCCTAAATACACTTAAATATGTTTATTCATTGTTACAGTTTACATTGTTCTGCTGATCCAGGTTCTGTTCAGCGCAGAAGGAATCAGAATCTAAACCAACCGGTCTCCTCCTGTTCGTGTTTTGGTGACTGTTTTCTTTTCTCTGAGATCCTGGAGCAGATGAAGCAAGCCGCCGTTCTCAGAGTAGATCTGCGTGTTTAAACTGATCAGATCTGCAACGTCTCACTGCTCTGCTTCACTCCAACCAGAAAAAACAGAAAAACCAGAAATCTTTAAAACGTCCCAGGATTTCTGAGGCTTGTTTCCTGCATAAACTGCTGGAATAAGTTTATCTGAAATTTATTTATTGTTTTTTTAATTTAAGAGAAACAAAAAAAGTATTTCAAACACCGTATTATTGGACCAGAAATAAAATTATTTCTAAATAAATAATAGAAAACAGGTTTATTTGGAGGGAAGGCAAGAAACTGAGGATCTTCACAGGGATCCTCTTCTACCAGCTTTATTTGACAATAAAATCTATCAACTCTACAGCGATAAAATTATTACTTAAATAGAATCATTTAATTATGGCTGCATCAAGTCATTTGTGTGCAGAATTTGACCAAAGCTGCATTATTAGATTTATTTTACAGATCAGGTCATGATTTAAAAAAAAATAATAACAAACAGAAAGAAAATTTAGTTTCAACGTTAAATAAATGAACTGATCTTCAGATTATTGAGTTTAAATATTCCTGCTTTAGTTAATCTCATCCCATAAATCCAGCGGCTGAGCGTCTGATCCTGGAACAATAATAAAAACTGAAACGTTAGGTGGAGTTTAAACTCTTTATTAATTTATTATAGTTTATAAAAGGTTAATCAGCTGAGCCCAAATTAGTGACATCAAACAAAAACCAGATTAAATCTCATCATCAATCAATACCTCTGTGTTTTCAGTCTAAAGCTTCATGCATTATTAAGGCAGTGTCAGGGGGCGGGGCTTAGCCGGTGACTGACAAGGTGAAAAGGTGACGTACACACCCACTCCCAATGAGCCAATCAGCTAATAGAATCAAAGCACATGACCTGGTCCAGTTTATTAGCGTTAAAACATTCAGGCTATGTTGGAGGGCAACCCTGTAACTATGGTAACAGTGAGGAAATCAGAGCGTGTGATTGGTTAATGAGGTTAAAGGCTGCAGCAGAAGAGGAATTATTGAGCAACAGTTTAAGTTTCTTCTTCTCTCCTCTTCAGTGATGAAGGACATCCAGAGTCTGGAAGAGAGAAAATAAAAGAAGAGAAAGAATTAAAAATAAAACTTTTAATGCAGGATTTCAACCTGCATCACATTTACTGCAGGACAGTTTTTTTTTAGAAAGAATCATCTGACTGATCCTGGTTATTATTGCTTAACATTATTAAAACAACAAACTGTTTCATGTGTCATGTAATCGACTTCTTCATTGTTCTTGTTCAAAGGTCACAAACGAGCCTTAAGGCACAAAACTTTATTTATTTAAGCACTTTGACATTTCTCAAAGAACCAAAGTGCTGCAGAGTGAAACAACATAACACCAATACACAGACACAAAAAACATACAAGGATAAAAGTCAAAATTATAATTTAGAACTATGAAATCTATAATAGAATAAAAAATAGTGATGTTAAAATCAGAAAAAGATTTAGACAATTTAATTTTTAATGGAAGCTTGTTCCACAGAGAAAGCACCCTCTAGCTTTGGGCACGAGAAGAAGCAGCTGATTGGCTGACCTGAGAAAAAGTAAAATTCATTTAAAAAAAAAGTTAAAATCAATCCACTGGACTTTGTTTCCAAGTTTGAAGACGTTTCTCTTCCATCCAGGAAGATTTTCAATCCAAAATGTCAGAAATAGCGTTTAGTTCCAGGTTTTATCCAGCAGCCCAACAAAGCCTGGTTTTAGTTTAGAAAACATGCAAATAGAAACGGATGAACGGGTCCCCCCCTTTGGAATGGGGGTCGTTTGGCTTCTTTGTTAGCCTGCAATGCCCCATACCTGTCTATGTCTCTGAAAGGGGGGGGCGTTAAAGGGAATAGTTGGCCTGGATGAACAGGTGAGGTCTTCTGTTCTCCTGTAAAGGAGTTGGGGAAGGAATCAACTCTACCGCTGCATTGAAGGTTTTTGAAAGAAATCATCTAAACTTCATGTAAGACGAACTTTATGGGTTTTTAAAAACTTTTTTAAGGATTATGATTTTCAAATCTTAATCTTTGTGTGAATTGAAAACAGGTGAGCAGAATAACCCAAAGCTCCAGATAAAGTTGGCTGGTTGGTGGATTTATTCTAGATCAGGTTAGTGGGCGGCTCCATCAGTGACCCCTGATCTAAAAGCTTATAGCGCCCTCCAGTGGTGAACGATGGCAAAGCATTTTCACCAAGTTAAAAAGGCTTCTAATAATATGAGAAGCTTGAATTGTTCACTTCATCAGAGTAAATAAAATAATAGATATTAGACATAAAAACAGAATAAAAGAACTTTATCTGTTAAATGAACAAAGTTTCTCACCTACTGAGACGTCGGCTCAGTTTGCTCCCCTGTGTCTGCTTTAGGGACACCAGCCTGCACCAGAACCAGAGATCTTCATCATCATCATCATCATCATCATCATCATCATCATCATCANATTAGACCATCAGTCTCTGTCAGTATGGACATACATGTCTCTGAGACACACATTGTCCTAGGTCTGTCTCTTATACACATCTTAAAATGGATGATGTTAAGGGAAAAAAAAGCTACAAAGGGAAATGGAAGAAAGTAGAGGCTTACTTCATCAAGGAGAATGCGAAGGCATATCAAGGCAGGAATTGAAGAAGCTAATTGGACTAGCTAAAGACTTTCTTCCCTTGTTCTGTTCAGGGAAAAGGAGCAGAGAGCAACAGCTGATGGTTGGATCTCAGGGCAGAAGAAGCCAGGCTTTACTGGCGAAGTAAGGTACAAATGAAAGAGGGCAGTAATCCAAGAAGGGCCTCGGAAATAAAAGTGCAGCAATGACACTGCCTTCTGGTAGAGAGGGAAGGCCACCCCACCTGAGAGGACAGGTACCAGTGATGTCATGGCTTTACAGTCTGTGATGAACTTTAATGCAGCATGGGAAACAGAGTCCAACATTTGAAGACATGAAGAAGAGTTCTTATAAAAAAGGTCACCAGAATCTAAGACCGATAAAAACGTGGGAGAGGCAAGATGCTTTTTACCAGGGTTGGGAATTGATAAGATTTCATGATTCCGATTCCCTTATCGATTCTGTGAAATGTTTGGATTCCATATCAATTCCCATAGCAAGCCGCCGTTCTCAGCGTAGATCTGCATGTTTAAACTGATCAGATCTGTAACCTCTCACTGACTCCCTGCTCTGTTTCACTCCAACCAGAAAAAACCAGAAATCTTTAAAACGTCCCAGGATTTCTGAGGCCTGTTTCCTGCATAAACTGCTGGAATAAGTTTATATGAAATTTATTGAATTCTTTTAGTTTAAGAGAAATAAAAAAAAGTATTTTAAACACCGTATTATTGGACCAGAAATAAAATTAT